ACAAGGGCCTACAGGCCCTGTGTCGTTTCAGCCTGAAAGCCTGAAAACAAGGGCCTACAGGCCCTGTATCGTTTCAGCCTAAAACAGGGCCGTCCAGGCCCTGAGTCTTTTCAGCCTGAAACGGAGGGCCATTTTCAGGCCCTCATAAGATCGACCTGCCCTGAAACTTAGGCACCAGACCAGGGTTTTAGCATAGGCCATTTTGGGCCTGTTTTCAAGACAACCTTTGTTTGAACTTCAACGCCAGGGTCTGGCACGTTTTGGCATTGGCAAGAGCAGCCTCCTGGACGGGCCAGCACTATATAAGACTGGCCCGCACTGCAGGCTGCAGGTAGTTCAGAGGGAGTTCATAGGGGACTTCCCAGGCGCTTCACGTGCAGTTCAGGAGGCAGGAGATAGTCTTCAGGATTTGGCAGCAGCACTCTGGAGGAGCGCCGCAGTAGTAGTAGTAGCGTTAGCAATAGTCTTCAGCGCTGGGCGCTAGTAGGAGCTAGAGTAGCACTGGAGAGAGAGAGAGAGTTGGTGGAGGCCAGGAAGACTTACCTGCAGCGCCATAGCACCAGCTTCGCCTTCGAGGTACCTGCAGCTAGAGTAGCACTGGAGAGAGAGAGAGAGTTGGTGGAGGTATCTTCAGAGGTTAGTACCTGGCACATGAGAGAGAGAGAGAGAGAGAGAGAGAGAGAGAGAGAGAGAGAGAGAGAGAGAGAGAGTTCGTCTTCTTCCTCCTCTCAGTCCACCATCTCTTCCTCACCCTCTCGCTATCTGACTTCTCGGCATCAACAGACTACGAGCGAGAGAGAGATTGGTGATTTTGGGGATGTTGACGACATTGGGCTACAGACTCGACTTTGGGATTGAGGCATTGACGAGGGACTATTTGGGATCGATACCAGTGACATTTGTGTGACGACGATTCCAACTTTTCCCTCATCTTCGTCTAATCCCCCTCCTCTTCGTCTGTGGTTGTTTGGGGCTGGCACATTCTTCCTGTGTGAGCGCCAGGCCCCTTCACACCCTGTGATGATGACGATGTATGTTTAGTCTACATTGCAACATTGATTGGGTTGATCATTGATATCCTAGATGGGATGTCCTGTCAGTCCCGGTCAGGTCAGGACTTATATCCAAGTCTTCCACTGCGCTGCAAAGCGCCATTTTGTATGCATCAGGATTCAGGATGTGCACTGCTTGTTGAGATTCCACTAACACTGCATTGTCCATTCAGTCCTTTTCATCACCTTGCGGATCCTTGGCTGTACATACATTGCCCAACTGGGCATGTAT